AATGTCCACTTTGAGGTTGAAGAGCATTTAATTCTGCTCTCAAACATTTTAATTTTGCCACTAGATCTCGTTTATATTTCGGCAGAAGCTCATTATCCATTAGTTCCTTTGGTAATTCTGATACAGTTTGAGCATTTTGAGCCGACGTATTTTCCACTAAAATAAATATATTAACTTCAAGCAAACAGATGTACAAATATGTTTTTGTTTTATTTTTATTACATTAAATAGATTATATAGATAATTATCTATGATTTGAATAATATTAGTAATGTAATATACTCAATTTTATAATATACTTTATATTCATATTATAAATTTAACTTTATAATCATGATATTAGAATAAAAATTCTTACAAGTTGGGGAGTTATTATTACTTCCATTCTCTGTTCTTGATCTTTGCTGGACAATATTACATTGAATACTTGGAGATGCAGGCGTCTCTATTTCTGTAGATTCATTTACAGTTGTCGAATTATTTGAATTACTCGTTGTTTGATTAGTACTATTTTGTCGTCTACTATCATAAAAATATAATTTTATAATTAATAATTGTAATTAAAATGTTTTATTTTTTTTTATTAACTTACTTTAACAAATTGCTTATAATTTGACTGGATAATCTTGGATCAGTAAATTGTGTAGTTCTGTTATTATGATCTACAAAATAAACACGACCACTTTGGGTCTGTCGCATTTCCCATCCGCTCGGTAATGGTCCAAGTTCATTTGCTAATTCATTTGCTGGTAAATCACGAGGTATTCTAGGATCGTGCCATGTAGATGATCCCGTTGGTACGTGATAAAAGTACACTTGACCTTGTTGCGTTTTTCTCATTTCTGTAGCATCCATTTATTTGATAATTTTTTATTTGATTTATATATTTATATATATCAAAATTTTTTAATTTTTAATACTCACCATAACCTCTTGGTAAATCTGGTGGTTGTGGAGGATCATATCTTCTTTCATTATTAATCATTACACTATTTCTATTTCTATTACTCCGATTAGGCCTTCGTGGTTGAGCATTGTTAATACTACGATCTGATCTAACATTTCCATTTTGATTACCATTTTGTTCATCACTTGCTCTAATTGGTCGTCGTTCTCTTGATGAAGCAGGTGTTACATTTCTTGTATTATGTTGATTTTGTTGTGTATTTCTATTTTGCTGTTGAGTTGGTGTATTTCTTGGAGTATTTGGAGTAGAACTATCTCTGCTAGGTGTTCTACTAGGTGTTCCATCTCCATTCCATTCAGGTGTACATCTGGTAGGACTTTCAGTTCTTAAATTAGGAGGACTTCCACTGCCACTGGGAGAAGTAGGTTCAGAAGAAGGTAATGGTGGTGGTTCAGGTGTAGTTGGTATTATGCCATTAGTAGGTCTATTATATTGAATTAAAATATACATTATAAATAAATTTAATCATATGAAAAAAAAAATTTTTGAGAAAATAAAACTTACCGTGCATTTGGACGAATCCATTGTGTAGTTCTGGTATAGTGATTGACATAATAAAGTCGACCACTTCGAGTTCTTCTTTCTTCCCATCCATCTGGTAAATCAGTTGGACAGCTCAGATCTCCAAGAACATCAACAACTGCATTATGACCCACTGTATTACTCACAGCACCATTATGACCATCTCGTGATAAAAGAGATACTACAACTTCTCCTTTAACTACATCTGTGTCATCTGAATGTGCTTTGCAAAGATCTAATCGTTGATCTAAATAAAATAATTAAATTTAAAAATTAAATATATAAATTATATAATATACTAAATTAAATATATTAATAATAGCATAACATTTAAATAAATAAATAAAATAATTACATCCTGTATCCTTGAGTCTTTGAATTGTATTAGATAATATTCGTACACATCCTAAAAATCCTCCACCTTTTTTTTTATGAATTTTTTTATGATTCCAAACTGATATAGTAATACCATCATCTTTTCCAATGTACCTGTAGAATATTAAAAATTCATGTAATTATATATATAAAAAATTATATTTATATTATAATTAAAAAATAATTACAAATCATAATGTTGATTCCACATAGGATCTAGAGTTGCCTTGCATGTATGTGTACTATGACACTGACCTGAACCATCAACAGTTATTTTAGCAAAAGGATCCGGTAGGCCTGAAATAGAATTTTTATTTTAACAAATTTAACAATATTTTTTTACAATATATATTCTTTTCAATATAAAAAATACTCACGAAATAGATCTTTTCTGGCAAGATTACGGGCACATAAAACTGTAAATGTACATAATCAATATTTAAATTTATTTTGACTAATATATTTTTATGATATAAATAATAATCAAACACACACACACATCCATAATATAATAAGAAGAAAATAATTTAAATATAATTTTATAGAAAATAACTTATAACATATGTAAATATTAATTTTAATATCTTTTCGATATCTATTAATTTTATTATTTGGTATTTTTTGATGAATATTAAATAATAATATATAATTTAATCAAGTTAATAAAGATTTATGCAAGAAAAATTTTTTATTATAAATCTTTCATTATAATTGATAATGATGACAATGAAATTAGTCATAAATTAACATATTTAAAATCAATTTTGAAATGATAAAATATTAATCATATATTCGTTTAAAAAATATTAAAGCTTTTCATCAGTACTAAGTGTCTGACATTTGTTAATTAGGTCTATTCACATTCGATTATGAGCTCGGTAATATACTCCATTGAATCAATTGAAACAAGAACTATTTTTTAAATAAAAAATGTTGGTAATATCATGTTTTTCGGTTGTTGTTAATTATTGAAGGAGAATCAATGCGGGTATGACAAGTTCACCAAAATTAACATCTTGTCTATGGTCTCCCGGAGTGCTTACGGTGGGGTCTTGACCTCTGATAGGGAGTTGCCATAACCAAAGGACGAAAACCCTAGTCAAATCTTTTTGCGTATTTTTCTCCTCATATTAATTGAATAATATACAATATTCATAACAATTCTGACGTTATTCAAAAACAGCTCTCTGTAAGGATTACAACACGACTACATAAGGGACACATAACAAATCAAGATGAGAAAGATCACAACGCGTGTTGGCTGTCGATCGACTTTCACGCTCCTCTCTTGTTAGATTCATCATCTTTTCTTAATAAACTCACTCGTCAAACGAATCTTCATGGCCCCGTTCCTCTTGCTACCGCCCGGATTCGACATTTTCCACGCACATTTAACGCTTTCTACCGAACATCGGCACTCTAATTAGTAAATAAAACTGCTGCTCGAAGCGGCGGTGCAATCTGCACACACGCAACTATGCACAATCGATTTGCAGTTGTTCGATCTTACCGACGATATCGACTCAAACTTTTATCGATTCAAGCATCTCGAAATATATCGAAAACAAATTGCGACCCATTAGGCTGTTACGATTAAAATAAAATCGCAAATTTAATACATAATAATATTTAGAATTAATTCATAAATATGTTTTCTTATATTTATATATGAAACGAAATTATCAATGTAATATAATAAATATTTTCTATAAGGTTACTTCCCAAACAATATAATTTCACAATTTTTTAAAAAATTTAAATACATTATAAATTTTTAAATTTAAAATTTTTTTTAAATTTGTTTAATATTAGAACAAATATTTATATAATGATAATATTTATTTAACATTGGACAAAAAAAATATATTTTTCTTAACAAAATCTCATTTAAAAAACAATAAATTTAAAAAAAAATTTAATATAATTTATTTTATCAAATTACATGTTTTAATTTTTAATAATTACATTATTTTAATTATATTTATTTATTTATATTTTATTAAAAATTTATATTTTTGAAAACCAATTTGAAAATCAATAATTAAATCGAATATTAGTGAGAATATTATAATTTTTTTACAAAAGATTGATTATTAATATAAAATGATAAAAAATAAGAAAATATAATTTACAATAAAAAAATAGTTCATGTTCATAGCTTAATTTATATGCAACAGTCATGATTACAATGCTTTCATTGACCTTATATTAGAAAGGGAATATCGCTTATTCTAAAAGAATATTAAAAATTTTTCTAAATTTTTAAATTAAAGTTCTAAATTTTAAAATTAGATTTTTAATATTTTAAACTTGAAATTAAAAAATATATAAATAAATATTATTTATTATTGATTGATGTAGCTTTATGATAATATATATTAAAAAAATTGAAAAGAAATTTTTTTTTCGAAGAAATATAAATCAAGAAATTATTATCGTAAATGAAAATTTTATGAATACAATATAAAAATGAAACGAAGATTTTTATATTATTGTTCTTATAGTAATAAATTAAAATTATTACAAAATATAGAGAAGAAAATTTAATCAAACATGTAGTGAAATAATTATAATTGAAACTTAAAGACAAGCATTAATTAGTATTAAATATAGTATTAAATATTACTTAAGTAAAGTGAAAAAGTAATATACTAGTGATACGTTAAAAAATTAAATCGTTTCTTCAAACTCTATAATGACATATTTATAGTATATTTAATAATAATATAAATGATATAAGTATAAATTTAAAATTTTTGGTTTTAAGCTTTCAAATATATTGCATAATTTACTGTTTCTTATCTGATATGATTTTAATATAAAAAATTATTCAATTATCATAATATAAAAAGAATCTTTCTAGAAATTTTTGCTTTAATTAATAAACATAAAAAACTATACAAATCTTTTTTTCTATTTATATTCCATTTTGCTAATAGTAATGCTTATAACATTCGTAATATTTTTTCTTGAAATTTTTCAGATTTTATTAAAAACAAATTTTAATTTTTTCAATCTTTAGCAATAATTTTTTTAAACGATTTATTTATTTTTTATCATTAAAACGATCTTTAAAATCGAATCGATGATTATATTATATCTCTGATATTACTTAAAATATTTTATATTTTAAGTAATTTTAATTTCCTCGGAATGCGAACACTGCATCTACCATAAACAAAATTCCTTGAACTATACTGATAGATCCTTTAGCGATACCAGTATTACGAAAATTTCCTCGGTAGACTGCATTTATGAAATGATCAAGGATAAGAGCACCAACAATGACGAATAAGATGCAACCGACTATGGAGAAAAACAAGTCCTGCAAATCAAAAATTTCGTAAATTATCATTCTACAATTATATATAACTTTTTTAATTTTTTTTTATAAATAAAAATGTATAAAAAAAGATCAGAAAAACATAATGGTTTAAATGGATATTTTTAATTTATGATTTTTGCATGATAAAGAAACTATTAATATTTATAAATTGATAATGATAAATTCCATATTATATGAATTCAATTCAAATGAAATCAGTTAAAATATCTACATTATGAAATAATAAATTTATTAAAATATAAAACTTATTTTTAAAAAGAAAAATATTTTTGATATTCTATAATATCATATTTATTAAAAACAAAATTTTAATGTTTTAAATATAACATATTATCAGAAAAGAATTACAGAAAATTCCTTTATTTTTTATGTCACAATAATAATGAATGGTATTATAAATTGTTAAACTTGTTTTGATAACCGCTTTCACTTAATGCAAAGAAAATTTAAACATTTCGTCGAAAGCCATCATAAAAATATAGAAATTTTTTAATATAATAAATAAAATAACTTGATAGATAAATAATCTTGATATTGATATTAAATATTTAATAATGAATTTAATTTATTTAATTTATATCAAGAAAAAAAATGGTATCAAGAAAAATGTTTATTAAATTATTTTATATTTTATTTCTACATATATTCAAGTCTACACACAGTAATATAGTTATAGATAATAATTTATAAAGCATTACAAATAACATATTATCATTTTATTTATTAATTGTAATACTATTATTACAATATTAATTGATATGAAAGTATTATAATATAAAGTATTATAAAATTTAAAAATATAAAAATATATTTTTACTGTAATTCTAATAGTTTTCAAAAGTATAATTTAAAAAAAAAAATCATAAAAAAATAGAAAAATGTATGTAAATAATATTTTTTATAAAAAAATTTGTATGAAATTATTTAAATATAATTCTGATTTACCAAGCGACGATCAATAGTAGCTCCTAAGATAATTCCAAGACACATTCCCACGAGAATGATTAAATACCCACCAAAGGTACCCATTGTAATAAAGGCACTGTTTAAACTGCTATCACTAAAGGAATGATAATGCAATCCTATAAGAACGCATACTATTATCTGAAAATAATAAGAAAAGAGAACAAAAATGGTAAATAAACAAAATAATAAATATGATTAAAATTTATTTAAAAAATATATATTAGTATTTATTTAAAAATATATATTAGTTGCAATAATACAATATCTTTTTATTTCAATATCTTTCCTTCAATATTATTTTATCTTTAACAACTATTGTATAACTATTGTATAACTATTGTAAAATCTATTAATAAATATATATTAATTTAAATATTACGTTATGCTATCATTTAACAAATCATATTAAATTTTCAGTACTTCACATATAGTTTTAAAACCGTATTATCATGAATAATTATTATTTATTCATTTTATAAATAATTACATTTAATTTGAATTAATTGTAAAAATTCCATTATTTGATAGTATACATCTTCTAATACAATAATTTCTAATGCAATAATATTATTAAAGCAAAAGTTCTGAATTTTTGTATATACAATGCTATATAATCTAATATAATCAATATTAAAAAATAAATTCAAATTATAAAAAGTTATATAAATAGATGATTTATTATATAATTAAAGTAATTAGATTAACGAAACAAGTGCATAGACTCTATTAATATCATAATTAAAATTCAATGATCTAAAAGTCTAAAAAGTTAGAAAAAAGAAAAAACTAAAAAGATATTTTAAGAATAATTTTGAACAGAAATTTGCGTGTATCATAATTGAATGTATGAAAATAGACGAAACAAATAAGTATGTACATCGATTCTATCAATACCATCATAAATAGCTTATTAAAATTCAATTATCGTGCTTTGAATAAAAAATCAATTCTATTTCAATAGTACAAATTTTAAACAGAGATCCAATTATTAATGATAAATACTTCTTCATAGAAAGTATTCTCTCTTAATGTTGCATTCATAACACGTTCTGAGATCTGCTCATCATTATGTATATTGCATAGTAACATTACGTCATATATTCAATTTGTTCAAACTTGATTCAACATGATGAAACAAATTCTTGAAATATTTTTATCCCTTTTTTTAATAGCAATGATTCAATGTTTTAATAAGAATTTTTAATTTTTTATTATTTATCTTTCGATTCTTGTATGATCGATAGAATAAAATCATTAGAAAATATTTAGTAATTTTTAATATTTTTAATTGTTTTCGCTATTTGAATTGTTTTATTGGATCAATAAAGACGAATGAATGTATTGTTCGTGAAAAAAAGATAAAACATTTATTAAAATTCTATAGCGATGTTTGTAATGATAAAGTATTCTAACGTTTCTTTTTATGTATAAGTAAGAATATATAAAAGTAAGGATTCTTTATCATAATTTTTTATTTTAATATAGATTTTTTAAATTAATTTAAAAAAATCTGTAATACGTTGATTTCTTAATAAATTATTTATAATTTCTAATTCATAATATATAACTGCAAAAATTTTCAAACAATAAATATTAATAATAAAATTAAAAATCTTAGTAATAAATTAAATTTTAGTAAATTTATCAATTAAAATCCAATTAAAAATAATCAAAAATGTAATATATCATATAAAAAAGGATAAAATAATTAAAATTTTGAATTAAAGAATAAATAAAAAAGTTTGATTATTAAAATCATAAAAGTTTACACGATATATTATAGCTAAAAAATCGCAAAATAAAAAATAAAATTGAATAATAATTTATTTCCAGAATGTGATTTTCGAAATGTGATCATAACAAGAAGAGATGCACAATAGCTATTATATCATTTTCTATTCTGGTAGAACAGAAAATGTCTCCACGAGATTTCAGAATCTATCATTGATTTATAATTTCTTTTGATATATGAATGATTAGATAAAATATTAGATAGAATATTAGATAGAATATTAGAATAGTAGAATTATAACTTTAATTTTGATATTTAAACAATAAAATTTTTGTTTGATTTAAAATTATTTCTCTACTCACCAATTCCACTATTTTGAAAATAGTAGCCTTATTCATCCCCATCTTAACCTATTTGTAAAAAAAAAAATTATTAAAAAATTTATTATTTTAAAAGTTTTAAAAGAAATTCATATAATAATATCAATTTCTTTCTAAATTAATAATACTTCTCACGATATAACAGCTGATTTCTTTTCTTTATAAAATGTAAAATCTTATTTTATTATTATACTTATATATATAATAAATATATATAATTTCAAAAATTGAAATTAATAGTAATTATTAAAATTAATTTCTTACATACTTACTACTAATATAATATTAACAAATTATAGAAATTCTTTATATTCTTATTGATTGATATATTTTAAAATTAATAAATTTCTTGTATTTTTAATTTTTTTCAAATATGAATTTTATTGTATTTAATATAATCTCAAATTATTTTTAATAATAATTATTCAAATTATTCGTAAATCAATTTCAAAGCAAACGAAACAAACAAATGAACTTTAAATTGAAGTTATAATATTTTTGTAATAAAACAAACTTCTAATCAATACTTATTCTTATTAATTCTCCATAGTATTAATCAATCATTTCATATTGTTAATGATGCATTTAATATTCATAAATAAAATCGCTAATTTATTCGTCTCATAATTATAAAACAATTTTTATTCTCATAAGTTAGATATAAAAAAAAATATAAAACATGACACATTCTCTATTTTATTTGATAAATCTCTAGAATATATGTAGATAACGAAGACAATTGTTCATACTTTTATTTTGACTCATCCTATTCATTCAAATTGGCACAAGTTATATATTTGCGTTTTACATATTATAAACATGTAAATTATTTGCTTATAAAAACAATATTTTGATATACAATTAAATTTGAATATATTTTGTTAATAAATAATATTTTGATGATTTTAAGATTATCATTTAAAAAATTTTTTTTATATTATGTTATATTTTTTCTAGTTTCCATTTTAATCATTACATTGTTTTGTAATTTATTATTTCAATTTTTATTACTTTTAATATTTATTAATATTAATTTTAATTTATTTAATATATTATTTAATAATATAATTTAATAAATTAATTTTAAACTTCACACTTAATATATCTGAAATTTTTTCAACACTAAAGTTTTACTAAAATATATTTCAAAATAATTTGTTTGGTTACGTTTGTACGTAGCTAAGTTAGTGGAACGAATGATCTTTTATGGTAATCACTCAATTCATATAATTCTAATGATGGATAGAAAGAAGTCTAACAAGATATTATTCATATGTTTATACTATTATTAAATGAAGAATCATGTGACTGAAAAATTAATGTTTTAATTAGTGATTAAAGAAAAGAAAAAAAATAAAAAAAAATCTTAATAATACAAATATTAAAAAATTATATAATTTTATTTACCAAAATAGAGAAAATTAAAAATTAATTCATAAAACAAAAATACAAAAATTTTGCAAAAGTTTTGCAAAAAATCAAAATAAAAAATAAAAAACAGAAAACAGGAAATCATGATGTACATACAAAATTCATTACTAGAAGGAAAGTTGTACTTTCACTCGTATGATCATTACATTAGTCTGAAAAACCTTGACTCAAATTTTTAACATATTTCTTTTCATATGAAGTTTTTTTCATTTATGCAAAATTTACGCGTTAGTCTAAATCATCCGATGTTTAAAGTGTAACTATTATTGATATTTAAAATAAAATTAATTATAATTTAATAATAATTAAATAACACTCTGACAATAAAAATTAATCTTACAAATTAAAAATTTTTTCTATTTCATATTTAAATTTTTAATATAATATAAAATATTTTAAATGTGTATTTTAAATTAAGTAAATATTTGATTGTTTTATTTAAAACAGAACGATTAATTGTGTGAATATAAAATATAATTATTTTATTATATTTATTAGATAAATATTTATAATAAATTTTAGACTTTTTTAAATTGAATATTAATTTTGAATACTTGTAAAATTTAAACTAGATATTTATTTATCTGAAATATTTAAATTATAAAGTTCATTGGAATGTTGTATACTTTTTTTTTTGATTGAAATAGAATCATAAATGTATATATGATATAAATTACAAAAAATTATACTTCATTTATATTAACTACAATTTGTAAAACACAAAAATACATTATATATCCATAAAAAATCATAATAGAAACTTTTATATGCTAAGCCAAAAAAATTCATAAAAAAAATCATGATCAAAGTAGACTAACTATATATTATTCAATGAAAAGAATTTTATTTATCAATACTATCAAAAATTAATTTTTAATTAATTGATCAATATTACGATAATATTGTAAAAAATTATTAATGATGTTTTATTTCCAATATATACATATATTTTATCAGATATATATTTATATCTTAACAATTTGTTTCAACAATTTAACAATTTCCATTAATTTTCCATAAGTTCCCATTTAATTTTTTGTAATAAATATTAAAAAAATAAAGCTATGCATTTTAATTTCATACATTTTAATATCCAAAATATATTGTCACAATTTTTAAATGCAATTTTTTCATTCAATATTAAATTAAACTTTTAAATTAAAATTTTTCTTGAAATTTTTCTTTCTTAAAATTTAATTTTAATATATATTTAATAATTAAAATACTTTGTGAATTATTTTGTTATTACACTCGTTGAAAATAAACTTACTTTTATTCGGTTTAAATTAATTAAATTTAGTTTAATCGGAGGTAGATTTTCACAAGGCAATAGTTCGACAAGGATTAAATGTTGAAGACCGATTACAAAGAAACGTTCCGTTTCGATTTTTACCATAGACTGAAACACGGCTACATTTATACAATCTTTTACGCATATTGTGAGTAGCCTCGCCTTCAGTAATGTTGTGACGTCTCTATAAGTGTCTCTCAAACGAATTGTATGATCTTTCTATAAATCTACATCCATTATTTCAATAGTTATAATAAAAATCTTTTATGGAAAATTTTAAAAATATTTTATTTATTATAAAACTTATAAGTAATTTTTTTTTAAAATCAATATTTAAATTTGCATTTGTTATAAAAATATAGTATAAGTGTTTTTAAGAAAATATAATTAAAAATTAATAATAATAATAGTTTTATTCATATTTTAAATTAGGATTAACGTAGGACGTTGATATTGTTATACATCGATATTTTTCTTGTAAATGGTAAATGTATGAGAAAGAGAAAAAAGTTTTTTATAATAAAATATTAATTTTTTATATTTATAATATTTTAATTTTTTAAATTTCAAATTTTTTAATTTTTTAAATGCAATACTTAAATGTTTTGTTTTTTTATATAAAAACATATATTATAATAAATTCATATGTAATTAATAGCCTTTAAAGTCACATAAAATCAGATAAAAAATAAAAGAATAATTATTTTGAATAATTTATATCATTTTATTTAATAATGTATATTTATAATATAATATCACATATTTCTTATTGATAAATCTATGCATATCTTGTGTAATTGACTCTATATAATTGATTATATATTTTTATTAATTGTAAATATCATATATATCATATATCATATTTATTACTAATATCAAAAAATAAATTCAGTGATATTATAATTTCAATTTTAATTACATATTTTAAGTAAATTATTATATTATTAAAAAGATCTAATATTTTCATCTAAATAATTATAAAATATTTTAAAATAAACAATTTTTTGTATGTAAATAAAATTATCTAAAAACTTCTATCGAATAATATGCGTCATAATTAGTTCGAATAAAAAATAGTTTTGAAATTTTATTGAAAAATTAAAATATCATTTCGTGATTAAATATAAAAATTTTATGATTTCTTTCTTTAAATTATTTTTAAATTATTTTTAAATCTAAAATTGTTGTATACAAAAAATAAAATATTTACAATAAAATTAAAACAATCTTTCTTTCTTTTTAGCATTTTCAAAATTATAAACTCTCAAAATTTAATTATTTGATTAGAAAATTATTCTTTATTCTTCTTTTATTTTTACTTTTTTTATTTTTGTTATAGTATTCGATTAGGTTCATATTTAAGTTGAAAGATTGAGAAGCACTGGTAACACGATCAGATTCATTCTAGTTAATGGTTAGTTTTCATGAAAGAGAATATCAAAATTAACCTTGTTAGATAATTTTTAAAAATTCTGAATTTTTTCATAATTATTACGTGTTATATTATATTAAATTAATTTTACTATATATGTTATATTAAATATGTAATTAAATATATTATATTAAATATGTACAGTAATATTAATTTAGTATAATATAAATATTTAAATACATACGTCATATAATTTCCATATTTTTTTAAATAAAATAGATAGATTGATTAAATATAATATATCTTTTGATTCATATTTTATCTATGTACATGTGTATACATTAATAATCAAACATTATTATCTAATATAATTCATATATTATTCATTTTATTAAATGTGATATAATGTCTAGAAAATTTATAGTATTCTAGAAAAATTTCATTCAAAATAAAATAAACATGATGTTATAAATAACTAAACTTTTATCGAAACTTTTAAGAATATTTTATTTTTAAATTATATTCAAAATTAAATATTTATCCTCCATAATATCTAAAATCATTTATTAACATTTAATCTTATTTCATATTTTTTTTATCTGTTTTTATATCTGTTTTATATTTTTTTAATGTTCTACGATTTAAAAAATTTTGTAAAAATTCAGGATTATTCATTAACATTTTTTACTAATTACTTTTTTTTCCAATAAGTAATTATATTTTCAAGAACAATCGAAATAAAATTGATTGTTTTACATTATTTTTGAGATTCTATTTTATGAATGATTAAAATTTTTATATATTCTGCTCAAAACTTGTTAAAATTTACATTTATTTAATTATTACATTAAAAATTACATAAAATATAAGATATCAAATATTAAGTAAATATAGAATATTTTCAAAACTTAATTTAGAATTTATGAATAAATTTAAATTAAATGCATTTTGAAACACAGTAAAATACATAAAAATTATTTTAGGAAATTTTTTTAATTATTTCATTTATTTTTTCTTTATAATAAATTTTTTACAATAATAATTTTTACAAAGATATCAAATATTTCTAGAATTTTATAATTTTATAATTTAATCTTTTTTGGATTTTCAAAAAAAATAATCTATTATATTATTATACATAATTATATACCTTTCACTAACTCTTATGTTGATTCTCTGAATGACGTTTTTTTTTTGAATGACGTTATATTATCAATTATATGATAACGTCATATCATATTATTCAGATACAAACTATCATGAAATTCGCAATAAGCTTAATTTATAATGGTGAAGTCTGAGAATGTTACGTCACATTTTCTAATAAATATTACTAAAGAATAAGAAAAATTATAATTATATAAAATTCAAGATTTATAACGAAACTATTAATCAAACATTTTTTGTTTCTTTCTTCCTATTATTGATGCTTTTCTTTTTTTTCTTACTTTTTCTCATTATCTTGATTTCATTCTTTCATCTTCCTCTTTATATTTATTATTAATAGATTATTTCTAAAATAATAATATTTAAATAATATTAATATAATAATAATAATATTAATATAATATAATATAATAATAATATAAAATAATATTAAATTTTCTAAAAAAAAAATGAATGAAAGAAATTGTCAATATAATTTGATATACATTTTATATATATAAGTGATATATTTTTTTTTTTCATAATGAAATGAAAAATTTTAAAACAAAATTTGTATCTTTATAATATAAGAATTTTTATTTTATTATATATGTTATATAAACATTTATAACATTTATAATGATTTATAAATATTTTTTCTGAATAATGCGTAATAAAGATTAAATAAATATTAATGTTTATATCACACAATATTAAAAATAAATATTAAAAGTATATTTTATAATATAATTTTTTCATTCATTTATTATGTAATTGTTTTCAATAATTAAAAAAAATTAATTTTATAATTGAAAAAATGATAGAAATGATATAAAAATTTTATAACTATTATATACATATTTTAAATATTTTTGCATTTTTTTCCGTAATTCTTTCAAATTTTATGGTATGATAATTTTTTTAGTATTTAATGCCATCTCTTTGAAAAGTACTCAAACTTATCACACTTTTATCGATATTAAAATGAATTTATTAATAGACTTTAACTTATAGCTCTATCTTTTAGATAATCTCGAAAGCTTTTTATGTATAGATAACGCTAATAATCAATTCTTGATGAGATGTCTCATGAACTTAAGAAATAGCACTAATCGTCAATTCTTATTCTATCTTTATTCTTTTAATATTTATTCTTTTGTTTATTTATTTTTTTATTTATTTATTTGCTATAATCTATAGTACTAATTCCTTAATTTTTACTCTATCTTTGTTCTTATCCTATTTTTCATTCTTCTTGTCTATATTTTGCAGCTTTTCACACATAACTACTATAATTAAAATATAATCAAAGTATTAATTGAACATTTTCATCATACCATACTTTAAAATAAAAAATATAGATTATTATTTTCGGTGTTATAATGTATCTCTAGAATGATGTATCTAGATTGTGTACTATAAAAATACATTGGATAATATCTATTTTATATGTAGTCTATGGACATAAAATACTATTATAAGATGGTAAATCTATTCTCTATCTTGTCTATGGACAAGACTTCTAAAATTTATTTTGTCAATGATGTTAGTAAGAAGTAAGTAATTAATCTATAATAACTAAATTTATATATATGTATATAGTTAAAAAATAATAAAAATACAAATAAAATAGCATTAGAACAATGCAAACTATATCTATAAAACAGAATATAAAAGATTAAATTCTAAGTAACTTAAATATTCTTAATCAATCTAAGTTATGATTATGTGATTAACGTGTAAAAACTTGGAAATAAAAACGCAAAGATTTTGCAAAAGAATCGCGCAAGAAGATTCTACGAAACGATTTGCTTGTTCTTATGTATTCCCAAACTTGTTTCAAGAGAAAAATTGGGCCACGGTATAATTTCTCTTTTGTTCACAATATTGCGACGCTTATCGCCAAGTGTCAATTAATTCTAGGTATTTACTGTTCTTTTTAACGTTATTTATAAGTGAAATAAAATATTTATAACTGAAATAAAATATTTATAATTAAAATAAAATATTTTATATATAACTTTATATATATATATTGTATTCTTTGTATTAATTTTTTATATTATGTTTTATTTTTATTTAGTTTAGATTTTTAAATTACAATAAATGTCTTAAATCATGACTACAATAAATGTCTTAAGTCAAGATGTTGCCATGACATCACAACAATCTCAAACACAATCGCAACAGACACAATTTGTATCACAACCTTCAAAGCAGCAAGTAGTACAACAAGCTTCTACTCAACAACAACAACCACAACAACAACAAAGTTCCTTCAATGATTTCCCACAAGTATGTATTGTAAAAAATATAAATTTTATTGAATATGTTTTTATATGTTTTATATATTTATATTTTTATATTGTATAAATTTCAGTTTTTAACTAAAACAAGATTGCAAGATCTTGTGAAAGAAGTAGATCCTACTGAACAATTAGATGAAGAAGTAGAAGAAATGTTATTGCAATTAGCAGATGATTTTGTAGAAACAACTGTCAATGCTGCATGTTTGTTAGCCAAACATCGTCATGCAAATACTGTAGAAGTAAAAGATGTACAATTACATTTAGGTAAATTATGAAAAATTATCAGATAAATAATTATTCAGTACAACATAATTAAATATATATGAAATGGATTAAATATATATGATTTATTATCCAATTTTTAGAAGAAATTGGAATATGTGGATTCCTGGTTTTGGTACAGATGAAGTACGTCCATATAAACGTGCAACAGTTACTGAAGCACATAAACAAAGATTGGCACTTATACGAAAATCAATTAAAAAATATTAACTTTTCTGTACATTTCATTCTGTGTTATTATTTTATCTTTAACTAACAATTCTTTTACATGTAGTATAATTTATGATAACATACATAATTAATATTTGTAAAAGAATTATAATTATATATATATATATATATATACATAATTATATGATTATATATACTTTTTGTAATGTACATAATTTTAAGTCTAATATGTCTTTAAGCAATAACTAAAATTTTTCTTGAATAAATTTATAATTACTTTATATATGATTTAGAAAAATTAAACAAATAAATATACATTACAATTTTGATTAAATATTATACAAAATAAATTTTATTGTTTATAAATTTTTTTTATGAAGATTTATATTTGTAAAAAAAAGATTTTATTCAAAAAATAAAAATTCACTCATGCTATTTTATTTGTATAATAAGATTATTAGATTAAAATATAAGAATAAGCAATTTAATTTAGATCTAAATTTTAAAAAATCTTAAAAAATGCATTTATGTATAAAATTACATAAAAATGATATAAGATTATAATTTTTAATTTTACAAAATTTTTTTCAAAAATATATATCAAGAAATTCTTGATTTTTTATTTGTTTATTTTTATAATATAAAAGTAAATATAAACGTAAAAAAATTTACATAAAAAAAAATACAAATTAAAATTAAAGAAATTCATTCTATTTGTTTAAATGCAATTTAAACATAATTTTAAATAACACTAAATTTTAGTCACTAATTTATCTAGTTATTTTTTGACTTATAATGACTAAAACAGAAGAAACCGGAACTGCTTGCTCATCAAATTGAATTCATCAAACCAACCAACAACATACATACCATAGTCTAGTAAATCGTGATAACCTTTTTCTTTCAGGGACATATTGTAAGATTTTACCATCTGCTTGTTGGGACAATTTTCAGACGGTATTGTTCACTTTCTTCTACTTAATCTTTATATATACATATAAAATATTTAATAATTTATTAGAAAATAAATTCATATTGTTAGTTCAAAAAATAAACAGTTACTTTTTCACAAAATATTTGTTCTATCTATCGTGAATCTAGCGATTGTAGCATCTGAACATATATGTCTCCTTATTCTATTAGTTGTTAAATATAAAAAACGTATTAATTAAATTTTAATATATTCTTATAGTATTTATCAATTTAAATATGATATTCTTTTAATAATTAATGGAAGTTTTTAAATTAATAATGTTTGATTTTAAGGGTTAGGCTTATATTTATAGGAATAAATATATCGAAATTAAAATATCAATTGTATTGCAGATGTGTGCAAGACAATAGTGAAGATAATATAATTTATTTTATTGAAGTAAAAATTCAGTAAAAATTATACAAAAATAACAAAATAAGAATTTATTATATTCTATAAACAATATATGTAATAGATATTTCTGAGGGATATTTCATTAAAAAAAATGTCTGGTAGTAATGAAAATATGAATAATAACACCTGTGTTGTATGTTATAAAAATGTTGACATTTATAGCATTGGAATGTGTGAACACCCTGTATGTTATGAATGCAGTACTCGAATGAGGGTGCTTTGTTGTCAAAATGAATGTCCTATTTGTCGTCAAGATTTGCCAAAAGTTGTATTTACAAAGGAGATAAAACCTTTTCGCCAATTACATAAAGGTAGCTTAATAGATACACGATATAATATCTATTTCGATACATCAGATATTCAAAATAAATTTTATGACTTATTGGCTAATGTTTGCTATATTTGCAAAGAGAAACTTGTATTTAATAATTTTAATAGTTTAAAAGATCATATGAGACATCAACATGAGTTACATTATTGTGATCTTTGCGTGGAAAATTTAAAGGTAATAAATATTAATATTATTTAATTTTAATTTTAAATCTATTTCAAAATATATTAAGATTAATTTATTCTTAATTTTTAGTAATTTATAATGACAAATTAACTTGTTTATTTTTTTTATGATAGATATTTTCTCATGAAAGACGTTGTTATACAAGATCAGATCTTGCACAACACCGAAGGAAAGGAGATGTTGATGACAAAAGTCATAAAGGACATCCATTATGTGAATTTTGTGATCAACGTTATATGGATAATGATGAATTATTTCGTCATTTGAGAAGAGATCACTTATATTGTCATTTTTGTGATGCAGATGGTTTACATCAATATTATAGCTCTTATGATTATCTGAGAGATCATTTCAGACAAGAACATTTCTTGTGTGAAGAAGGAATGTGTGTTGAGGAAAAATTTACAAGTGTCTTTAGAACTGAGATAGATCTTAAAGCACATAAGGCAAGTGTTCATAGTAAACAATTGAGCAAAGCTGCTGCAAAGCAAGCAAGAACATTAGAGCTAGAATTTACACTAGCTCCACGTGGTGAAAATCGAATGAACAGAAGAGGAATGTTAGGTCCATCGACTTCTAGGAATTCAAGAGATTATAGTCTCAGGGAATATCAACCAATTTCGCCAAATACTTCAAATGTATTTATACCAAACAACGAACCTACTTTTATAAAACGTCAATCTGTGGATGTGCAAAGTACAGAAGAATTTCCAACATTGGGTAACACTGCACCTATTGTACCTACTTTAAATCAAAGTAAAGGTAGAGGTAATGTAACAATCCGTAGTACCATAAGACCTCAGCCTCTTGCTGTTACAGATGAAAATTTTCCCGCATTAGGACCAGAAGCAGGAAGTACAAGTATTTCTAAAACTGTTAATTTTAGTGTATCCAGCAGTAATGCAACAGGATCAAGTATACAACCTCAAAAGAGTACAACTTCTAATGTATCTATTCAAGTTAATCATGAACCAAATGGAACAGTTACTACAAAAGTTTCAGGTCCTAATATAAGAATTCGTCCTGCTCAGCTATCAATGGAATCATTTCCTGCATTGGGTTCTGCAGAACCATCAACTAGTAGTAATACAAATTCAGCTCATTGGAAGGAGGTATTACAATGGACTTGTTCTAAATCAGCATCTACATCGATACCTAAAAAAGTAGTTTCACCACCATTAAATCCTTCTCCACCACCTATTCAATCTGGGGAAGATTTTCCTACATTATCAAAATCATCTAAATCAAAGAAACAATCAACAATTACAGTAGTTCCTTCTTGGGGTCAACCACAGAATTCTAATAACAGTAATAATATAAAAACAACTACTGATTTAACAAAAGGAAAAACGAAAAAGAAAAAAGTTAAACAAAATTATAATAACAATACTGCTAATGGAAATGATGGTAATAGTTCAAAAACAAATATAAGTTCTGTTGTAGTAAAAAAAGAATGTGAAACACCTAGAAATTTATCTAGTATGAATAGAACGGATACTGTACAGTCAAGTTCACAATCTACACGAAATACGGATAATATTAGTAACAGTGAAAATATATCAAAAAATATAAATGTTCAATCTTCGAAAGAAATGGAACAAATTAATAAAAAGGAAAAGAAGAAACATAAAAATATAGATAATGAAACGGTTGTAAATACAAATATCGATAATAATACTTCAAACGGAGTACAGAGAAAGCGCACTGAATTAAAAATAGATAGCTTAAATTCTAGCAATAGAAATGCCCGTCATTTAGAAGAATTTCCAGCTTTAAGTAGCAGCAGTTCTAAACCACCAGGTTTCACAAATCCACCACCTGGATTTGGAACAACAACTCCTCCACCTCCTGGTTTTTGTATAAAGTATAACAGCATGGATAAATTACATAATAATAATGGATTGACTTTTACAAACAGTTCTGGAGAAAGTTATTCTATTTTGCCAGATAATAGTAAACATAATAGTGCATATAATTACGTACCGCCTCCAGAATTTCAAAAACGGAATAAATTTCTTGTAGCCAAAGTTAATGAAATCCTAATGCAACATGATGATCAAATTGAGGAATTTCGATATATAAGTGGACTATTTCGACAAGGAACATGTAATGCTCAAGATTATTATACGCATTGTCGCGAAGTTATGGGTCTCATTGCTTTTGAGCATGTATTTTCAGAGCTTTTAGTTCTCTTGCCAGATATTGAAAAGCAACAAGAACTATTTAAAGTTCACAAAAAAGAAAGTGGTAATAAAATTAAAGGTTTAGAAATTTGTGCAACTTGTGGTCAAGTTTTAAAGATTGGTTCTGATTCTCGAACACATATGACTAGTCATACATTAGAAAATCATTTTCCTGCATTGGGCAAAAATAATCTGTTTTCAAAATATTCTTAGGTTATAAATGAATATAATTATGTTCCTTTAATTATCTTAAAAATTTTGCCAAGGTTTTGTAAGCTATAAATAAAGGAACTGCTAAACAAATTATTTTTATGAATGGCATCAATGTAAGATAGTTATAATCAATTATTTGAAGTTATTGGTAAAATATAAATATTCTAACTGTCAGCTTTTAGTATTAAAAAGTTAATTTGAACAAATTAATTACCATAATGTACTTGGTATCTGTTCAATGACCTGTGTGATTGCTGCCTAAACTAAAGAAAATTTATTATCAAATGGTATACACTAATAATTTTATGAAAATGCATATAGCAAATAAAGTCAATAATTCTGTGTATAATAACAAATTTTATGTAAATGAATTTGAACAATTTAATATTTGTGACACAAAAATATCTGAATAAGATATTCATATATTAAAATCTTTTAATTGATGCCCTTTATTATGTCATATGTTAAAACTACTTTGTATATATTACTCATAAGTAGGAAATATATTCTGTAATTTATTCATTGTCTTTTATGAGTAGAAATGGAATAAAATTTTATGATGCATAAAAGTAATATTGCATATTAACAAATTATTTGATACGTTATACATTATACAGTGCATGTATGATAATGTACTGTTTTGTACTATAATAAAGTTACTACATTGAGTTAAATAAGACTGCAAAATATACTTGACTATTATATTTCCCTATATTGTAAAAATAAATTCTTATTTTTATGTTATAAAAGAAAATAATAATGATGAAATACAATTGTAAATGTTATCATTGATATTTTTATTTCTAATAATTTTTTAAATTTATAATAATATTTTACAATAAAAATTATATATCTTTATAAGAAAAAATTATTAGTAAAGAAAAAAGGTATATGTTTTAAATGTTACTCTTATACTTTACTGTTAATTTTATTCGTTCTATACTATTATTTATTCAAAAAACAAAATAGTAGAAATTATATGTTAAATAATA